CGTGACGCAACTTGCGTTCGTTGTCGGATTTCGTTCATTTTGGCCGTGGGGGTGCCCGGGTGAGGCCCCACACGCGCTGGCAAAATTTGGGTGCATTCCGTGAAACCGCTCAGGTACTTGCTGTGGAAGGGGGTGGTTTCGGTATGGCCGGAGGGGACCCTCGGTCGCACGTCTCCGCTTCGCATCCGCCAAACTTGCCCAATTTTTTTTCACGGGGCACAGTGTCCATGCAGGGCACGCACGCAAAAATTTATCGCGTTTCGAGTCCGTATGGATTTTCTACGATTTTCCGGGCCGAAAACGCCTAAAATACTGCCACGTCTCGCGTTTCCAGAAAATTCATAAATGTTAATGAATTTAAAACTATTTCAGATAATGTTAATGAATTTAAAAATTCTCGGATTCATAAATGTTAATGAATTTAAAAAGATTTCAGAAAATGTGAATTAATGAATTAAAATATATCACCTTTTTGATTATTTTTTAATTTGTTAAATTTTTTATTTCTTAATTTTCATTTTTCATCCACCGGGCTTTACTATATGCACATATTTTAACAACATCTGAACATTTCTAAAACACTTTATAAACATTTAGAAACACTTTTGACTTTTTATTCAGTTTTCTTTTATATTTTATGTGTTTTCATGATTTTTTTTGCTACAATTTTTCGATAATTGCATACCTTATTTTGTGCTATGTATATTCGATGGAAATTTTTTAAATATATTGTGAACATTTTTATGAATGGGTCGGAAAATTTTCAAATTTTTGTCAAAATAAGCGTTCAATATTTTGCTAATTTTTTCAACAAACTTTGAAGACAAATTAAAACAACATTCGAACAAACTTGATTGAACATAGATATATTTTACATAGTCCATTAAACACTACGAAAACGAAACGAGTTCATCCGAACATAAACGATTCATAGTTCATACTTAGAACATTTTTTTTAAAAAAAACAACTACTCCTCCTCGTCGTCGCTACCCAGCAGATCGATGACCGCACCGTCACCGCCGTCACCGTCGTTGTCGTCGTCGCTGACCTGGGCTAGCCGCTCCCAGTCGATGTCGTCTTCGTCCGATGACTCTGCCGCCTCCGCCTCCGCCTGCGGGACCACCGGTGGAATCGCAGCCGCCGCCTGGATCGCTGCCGCCTGCTCGGCGGCCTCCCTCGCAGCCGCCGCCGCCTCTGCAGCCGCCGCTGCAGCCACCGACGCCCGCAGGGCGACGAGGTAACCCGGCGTATCGTCGGGATCGCCGTCCTCCCGAAGAACCACCTGCTCCGGCGGGGCGGGGGGGATCGGCGGTCGCCGGCGCAGGTGTTGGAGGGGCCCGACGGCCGCGTGCTTCTGGACGGGGGCGCGGGACGAGGTATGCCGTGCCGCCGGACTCCGCGAGCCGGCACGCGCGAATGACGGCGGCGTAGTCTTTGCCGTCCCAGAACGCGTGACGGCCGACGATGTTGTTGCGGCCGCCGGTCCACTTCTCCTCCGTGGTGGCGCCGGGCCCGCGCCTCGGGTAGCCGTCCTTGTCGAGCTTCCAATCGTGCGGCAGACGGCAACCCGGCGGCACGAGGAGCCCTAACCGGTACAGCTCCTCTGTCTCCGGCGTGCTCAGGCTCGACGGCCACGCGCTCGGTCCGTCGCCGCCGCCGGTGCTGGAGCTGCTGCCGCGGTGGAACGACATCTCGCCGGCGAGCTTTTCAGAGGTGGATGTGACGACGGGTCGGGGGAAGGAATGGTGCGAGCGGGGATGGGCGGACGGGGGTGGTTTTTATAGGGCAGACGGCGGTGCCGGCGGGCAGACGGGCAGTAATGGCGACGGGCGGGTGGGTCGACGGCATTGATGCGCACGGGATACGATGGGGCGGCAGGCGGCGGGACGGCAGTCGAGGGCGGCGTTGCGGTAGTCGAGGGGACGGACGGGACGGGACGGCGGGGCCGCTATCCACGCGCCACGACGCGTTTTCCGCGAGCGACGCGTCGCGGATTGACCACCGACGGGCGCGTACGTACGTTGCCCCACTGTACAAAAATACGCCGTCCTTGCGCGAGTGTAAAAAAAAGCCGTCGCCCCACTGTACAAAAATACGCCGTCTTTGCGCGCGAGTGTAAAAAGAAAACCGTCGCCTCGCGTGCGGGTACGTCGCGGGAGCGGGGCTGGGGGGAGGCTGATGGGGAATGACCATCCTACCCTTTTTTAAGTTTTTACATGAAGGGGTATAAGACGATCTGAATCGTTGATGTGTCTTGGGGGTTGTATCGAAGAAGAAGTGTTCTAAAATTTGGCTGCTTCTTTGCTACTCAAACTAAAAGCCTGCTTCATTCGTCTCTTGTAGAAACTTGCATTCCAATGGGCTAACCGGGAACATACCACCGCAGCTGGGCAAGCTACCAAATCTTGTTCAGCTTAGGTTGGACAGGAACAGGCTGAAAGGGTCAATTCCTGGTGGCAATGCTACTGGGTTTTCTCCTATGGCAGATACCGGGTCGGTGACTTGTCCTAACTCCTTTTTTTTTCTGTATATGGTGCTATATATATTAAACAAATTGGAATTATATAAACTCAATACTGATGGAAAATTGGATATGATGTAAGAAGGCCATGGAAATTTAATTTGTGACATCAAAAGGTTCATGATTCATCAAAAAGAATAGACCGAACTGAACTTCAGAGTAATGATTAGCTAGAATAGGACCAAAAGGACAATTATCAGTGGTAATACTTGCTAAATTAGTCATGCCCTTTTGTTACCATTTTCTGTTGATAACATGTTCATTAAATACACTTAACAAAACCAATATGTGAGTATGTGACCATGTTCCAGTAAATTATTACTATATCTGAATACTGTATGTTTGCTTCGTCAGGTCCACAGCTCACAGTGGACTATGCCCGTCTCCTCGATTAAATGTTGCAGATTTCTCCTTCAACTTCCTTGTTGGAAAAATCCCAATTTGTTTGAAGTATCTTCCAAGGTACTATTTACAAAATGCACTTCCTACAGTTAGTATCAGTTAGAAGTCCTTCCATTCACGTGGCAAGTTTGCAGGTCAAGTTTTCAGGGGAACTGCTTCCAGGATGAGTACTCTATACGACAACGTGCTCATCAAATTTGTGCAAGTATGTGACTTAGCCTCTACAAGATAACACAATAATTGTAGTGTTAACTACAAAGATGAAATATTTCTCGAATTATTACATGGACATTTGAATTCAACTCACTTAATCCGAGAAGTACGGAACATCATGCTTTATGATTTTATACATCTTGCCCTTATAAAATTTCTCTGTAGGATTTACCATCACTTCTCATGAGGCAACACTTTTCCCCCTTTTATCTGCAAATATAAATTACACTACTTATGCGACATGGCATATTCATTTCTTCAAGGGTAGTTTTGATACTTAGGCAAAACCTTATGTTGAAACTCCAATATGGGTTATAGTTATTTACTGTATAAGTAGCATTTAGTAGTGGCCTAAGGTCATCTTCAACTTCCATCGACTGAAATCTACTCTTGTTTTAGGTGCATCTACAGCTGCTAATTTAAAGGGATTCAAGCGCCCTGCTTCTGAGCATAAGCATGATAAAGTGCAGCAACCGACTTGGCTTATTGTTTTGGAAATCGCAACCGGTGCTCTCCTGCTTGTTTTCTTGATCACTGGTGCAATTACTGCCTCCAGAAGCTGCAATCTAAAGCCTTCTATAAGAATATCATCGTGGAGTAGATCAAAAAGTTGGAGCGACGAGATAACAGTACTCATTGGTTGGAATTAACATTATCTTCTAAATTGATTATTTTCTCTAAGATATATTGTTGCTAATGTATTCATTCATGCTTTTCTCAGATTCTGATATGCTGAAAAGTTTGCCAAAGCTGAGTCGCCAGGAACTTGAAGTAGCATGTGAGGATTTTAGCAACATTATTGGCTCAACTCCGGAGACAGTAGTCTACAAAGGAACAATGAAGGATGGACCTGAGGTTTCTGTCATATCATTATGCGCCTTTGAAGGTCATTGGACTAGTCAGCATGAACTCTTTTACCAAAACAAGGTAGTTTATTTATCCAAAATTGCTACTCAGAAACACTTTTTAACTGAACTAAATAAATAAAATGGGATGTACATTGTAGGTTATTGATCTGGCACGGTTGAATCATGAGAACATAGCAAAGTTTCTGGGCTATTGCAGAGAGAGTGAGCCATTCTCGAGGATGTTAGTCTTTGAGTACGCATCAAATGGGACCCTGTACGAGCACCTACACTGTAAGCCTATCTCTTCGATTTCGTTACGACAGACTAAATATTTGCATTTTTCTGTGTGTCGTAGATTTGATGTCATTTGTTTTCTTCCTTTAGATGGGGAAGCAGCCCAATTCTCTTGGCTCAGACGGATGAAAATAGCCATCGGCATTGCCCAAGGTTTAAGGTATCTGCACACCGAGTCGCAGCCTCCTTTCGCTATATCAGAGCTGAACTCCAATTCAGTTTACGTTACAGAAGATTTTACCCCCAAGGTACTGCATGCTTTGCTTTTACCTGTATACACTGGTACTATTTCAATGGAGCTTGTCTTTCAGATGAATACTCTCTAACTTGGTGAAATGAACAACAGCTGGTCGACTTTGAGTGCTGGAAAATGCTGTTTTCGAGACACGAGAAGGCGCTCGGCCACTTCAACAGCAAAGCCTCTTTCCCTAGCCGGGACTCTTCGGAGGATAAGTACATGGACACATCCAAGGCAACACGTTTGCCTTTGGAGTGATCTTGCTCGAGATCATCAGTGGGCGGCTTCCCTACTGCAAGGACAAAGGCTACTTGGTAGACTGGGTGAGCCAGTCCGTTTCTCAACCTCATTGCAATAACAGTGCATGTCTTACTCAAAGATCGCGTAAAATTAAAATGAAATGTTGGTGGAAAAATCTATCATTTCACCAACTGAAGAAGTCATTTGCAGCGAAAGTTCAAGTAACTGCTCAGTCTGAATTTCTGATCCTCTACATTTCTGCAGGCCATCAAGTACCTCCAGCAGCCGGAGGAGATCGGGAAGCTGGTCGACCCCGAGCTGACGAACGTGCGGACCGAGGACCTGGCGGTGATCTGCAGCGTGGTGAGCCAGTGCGTCGACCCTGACCCGTCCAAGCGGCCGTCGATGCAGATCATCGCGGGGGCGCTGGAGACCGGCATCAACCTCTCGGCGGCCGGCATCCTCAAGGAGTCCTCCCTGGCGTGGGAGGAGCTCGCCCTGTCGTTGTAGCACACGCCTCGCCTCGTCCCACTGTAGATTTTCGTCAACGCTAACACTGATTTGTTGCGTGCCATCATCTTCTCCGCCTTGTTGGCTCCACGTATGTATACAACGCTTGCTAAAGCGGGCGAGCCAGTTCGGCCGCCATGTAATTCTGTGTGCCTTAGTTGTAGTTTCAGTGTGGGGGCTGAGAAATGCAATGCTGCTCCTTATCTGAAATGATGTTGCACCTTGTGTGAACCGTTGTTTTTCAGTTAAGAGAGTTGAGGATAGATCGATGCTTTTTCCCTAGATCTTCTGCGGTGGTCTCTTGGAACGGTGCGGTTCGACGCAACGGCTGACCACCATGCAGATCAACTTCAGGTTTTGGCTCCGGACATTGGTCGGCCTCGGGTCGACTAGCTTACCGATCTCTTCAGGCATGCAAGAATGTAGAGATTCAGAATGAGCAGTCGGAAGCTGGCTGCAAATGTAGTGATTCTGAATGAGCAGTTTGGAAGTTGGCTGCAAATTGCAACAACAGGCTGTTTCAACATTTCGTTTTATGTTATACTATGATCCTTTTGTAGGGAAGTAGGAGTATGTTATAAGTATGATCTTTGTGTAAGGCAAATGAGGTGGGGGATTTATACCGGCTCACAGAGTGAATTCTTCATAATTGCAACAACAGACTGTTTCAACATTTCCTCGCAGTAAGGAAGCCATACATCCACTAATGGTCTCCAGCAAAATCACTGCAAATGAAAAGGCATTGCTCTAGTCTACTGGGTCAACGAGGAAGAGAAAGTTGTCAGTTGAACTAGAGAAGAAACAGGCTAAAAAATTAAACCCGGGTAAGTATGACAACTGCTAGTAAGTAGAGTAATTCTTGCTCACGACCGCTGCACTGCACTGCCTCTGCCCCAGGAGGCTAGGGCAGTCCCTTCCTCTCCAGAGTCGGTCACCAGGACCAGGCAGGCAGGCAGACATTTCTGGTCTGGTCTGGTCTAGCAACAGGAGACTGACTGACTAAATTGCAAAGCCTTGTTCAAGCTTCGAACCAAGGCGCATGGATGGAACATGGCAGAACGCCGTGCAGAAACGCGTAGAATAAAAATGAAATGACGGCCAGACTTGCCACTTGGTGCATCATAAGTGCACATTCATCAGATAAACGGCCGTGATCAACATTCGCACCGATCGGCACCCATGGCCTTGAGTCATCTGCAAGCAAGCAAGACTGACTCCAACATGGCTGCCCATTTCTTTCTTTCTTTTTCTTTTTTTAATTTTTGTTTCTGCCAAGAGATCGAGTATGCTTGTTTTATTGGGCTGGCAGGGGAGAACCCATGCATCTTCCTTTTTCAGCAGTAGAAAGAAATGTGTAGGTAGTTTCTTGGAGGGGGCAAGTGGTGGTCCTTGTCCCTGTTAATTACAAGTTGATGGCACACCAACTAGAGATCTCAGTGCAAGTGTTTCCAGCTGAATCAGGCCAAGTGTACTTACTAGGCATATCACATATCCTACTTACTTTTTTTTTCCTTTTCTACAACTGGCACCAGAGATCATTGCCAAAGCCTATTTTATTCTTAGCTTGAAGATGATGGCACTCAAGATGATGACATCTCAATGGCCGTGGTACGTGTCTCCAGCTGAGAACAGGGCAGTAGTACTTACTAGTCATGTCACAGATCCTACTTACTATTTTTCATTGAACTGCCAGAGTAGATTATTAGTATCATTTTATCCAAAAAATATAGATTGTACATCCTTCTTCTTGCCAAACCCTATTTTATTATTGCCATAGCCTATTTTATCCTTAGCTAGAAGATGATGGCATCCCACACCAACTAAACATCTCAGTGATAGTACTAGCCAGGAAAAAAAGAAGCTAGTTGTGATCAATGGTACTAGCACTCATGCCACAAGCAAGCAGGTCTTCTGGTATTCAAGGCATGCATGTGCTCACCTTGAGGGCCAGGGCTTTCTGGTCTCCCTGCTGCCTCCTCCGTCCACCTTTCCCTCTCTGATGTTGCCACCTTTCAATTCTCTTCAGCAAAATCATCATCAAACAGGTGGCCCCATCAATGTCAACAGCAGCCATGGCCAACCTCTTATCCTCCTTCTCCTCCAAATAATGTACTACTAACAATTTTAATATTAAAATGATGTGATGGTTTCAGGCAGAGGCTGAGGCAGACATGATCCCAACACCTGTTGCTTCTGCTAAGCATGATTACTTGATTAGATTTGCATTAGCAGAAAGTGTACTTATTAGAGGACAAAAGCCCGGTACTTAGCAATGATCTATCCAGGAAGCAAGCAGATGCTATACATGCTGATGCCCTTTTTGTAAAGTAGGAGGAGCTGGTAGCTAGTTAATTAATAGGAAAGCAAGGTGAGATGATATGATGCCACGTTTATAATAAACAAACAAAAGAGAGAAGAAGAAGGCTCTTTTGATGATGCTTTGTCACTTGTGTTGGAACCATAATGCATGCACGCGCCAGGTTCCAGGCATATCAGACAACATGCATAGATTCTGGGGAAACAAACTGGATTATTGTTAAACTGCATACTGAAACCAGGCTCATAATTCAGTTTTTGTCTGGTTTGTTTACAGGCAAACTGAACAGACTCCACAACTTATAATGCTCACCAATTTTCTTCCTGTCTTTCAACATTGGCAACTTTCTCATGTAAATTAACATAAAGAGAGGATCAAAAATTATACTTTTCTTTAACTTCGTATCTTCTAACAGTATGTGTGTGAGCTGTGAAGCAGCAGGCAATGGAGTGTACTGGTGTGAGGCTGAAGCAAGTACAACCAGCTTCCTTTCCTTTGAGGAGATCAAAAGCAACACCACCAAAGTCCTTCTACTCAATACTCACTACTCACTTGCACCATACCACATATCCCACAATGGCCAACTGGCACTGAGGACTGCTTGCTCTGCCTTGCAAGTGAAGCCCATCCAGAGTCAGACAAGCATACAAGCAAACAAAAAAACAGACAGAAAATCTCAAAGATATCCTGCAACTTTTTCCTCCTTGCAGTTTTTGTGCAGCTCCTAGTAGCTAGGAAGGGAAAAGAAATTGCTGGAAGAACAGTGGGATGGAGTACTGGAGTCAGAATCAATCAGGCACCTTGTTGTTGTTTTCAGTTACTAGACCTCACCTAAATGTCCTGATGTGATGACAAGAGACTACTATTGCTAAGACTACACTCTTGGCCTCATGTGTTGTCGACTAGTACCACTGGTCACTTTCTAGGGTACGTGTGAGGACAGGGGTGGTGAGGTGAGTTTGGTGTGGAGTATTATGTGAGAGGGTCACAGCCACTCCCCACTTAATGATACTACCTACTTACTGTAGAACATTGCTCATGGACATCTCTAGGTGCTATAGGGCCATGCACCTTTGTCCATCATGTCTGTACATTTTTGTTTCATTTCTGTTCAGTCCGTCCCCGTATGCTACAACTAAAACAAGATTTCATTTGGCAGCACTATAAACTAAAACAAATGGTTTAATCATCTGCTAGCTTATAGCATCCCCCAAATCTCTTTGCTTCTTTTTGAAAAAAAGAAGAAGGAATTCCTTGCTTCTACTGTTCTACACTGATAGATGATGGCGAAACTATCCTGGTCTAATAAAGGGCTGTACAGTAAGTACAAAAAAATGATTTTATTTATTCATCCAAAACAGGTCTTTGCTTCTCAGCACCTGCTAGTACTATTTATCCTTACCTTTATTTTGCTGAGCACAGTTAACATGTACTACGAAAGCACTGCACTCACTGATCAATCTGGACGCGCAAGTTGCAACTACATTGAGATCTGCCTCAAAAAAAGATCATTCATGGAACTGCTTCAGGTAGTGCGTACCTGGTCATTACCCTTGTGACCACTTCAAAAAAAAAAAAAAAAAACTAGACCAATAGGGGGAGAGGCCCCTATGGCTTTTTAATTAAGAAGGAGAATGTGAGACTACAAAGTTCCAGCCAAGGCTCGAACCTGCGTCGGCTGTGAGACGCCACTGCGCTCTGGCCACTTCCACAGAGATTTTGTGACAAACCGCGCCAGTTTTCGCGGCGAGGTTTGGCAGCAAGTCCTCTGAACCATTGCGTGATCTTGGATGTATAGTGCTCACAATAGTGTGCTTGCAATAGGTCCACAAAGAAGCTACTGTAAGCTTGAAAAATTCTGATGATATGCAAACAGACATATTGAGATAATTCAAAGTGGTGAGACACAGGATTCAATAGGTTCTCCCATTTGGACTTGGACAGTTAGGAATCCCCCAATTCGGTTGTAAATCTAGGGACAAAGCAGGGGAGTTTGAATTGTCGCCCAACATCCCGCGCCC